ACAAGTACCCCAGTCTTGTGCCGGGCGCTCTGCTTAGTAAACACCCAGACGTCCCCCGACCACCCAATTTATCATCTCCGAAGTCCCGCGGCACAGGTTTCTTTCCTCCTGCGAGGTCATATGCACCACAAAAANTCCCGCGGTACAGGCTACTTTCCTCCTGGGAGGTCATTTTCACCACAATAAGTTCAGGGACGACTTGCATAGCCTAAGATCCTACTCACACGCCGGGATGGGGCGTACACCAACGTCCAGCTTCTCATGTACGCTCCACCATGGGTTGCTACCCCACTTACGCTCCCGAGTAGACCTATCTGCCGAAAGTTTGGCCAACAATTCCTTACTGCTTGTACTCGCCTCTCTCCAATCGAAAACAACGCATTGTGCGTGCCGCACATCTAGCTCCGCAGTTTTTGCGTGGTTGTCTGGTCGTTCAGCTTGCTCGACATGGGTAATAAGCTTTGCTTTGATGCCTCCATGTTTTATTGATCCACTTCAAGCAACGAACACCCCCCCCCTCCACAGTCCGATCCATTTTGGACCTCACGCCAGAGAGTTTTGGGGTGTCTTAGCTCTAAGTCCTCCACCGCCCAATGGGGGACTTCGGTATTTTTTTTTATGCCGTACCAAAAGGCATTAACCTTAGGTAAGCTTGTGCTTACTTTGGACTGTACCCTCCTCATCCTCTGGGGGAGGTAGAGGAGGAGGGGGGCGCATGGCCTCTATTTTTCAGGGGGGGTTCGGGCACGGGTCAGGGGTCGGGTCTATGTGTACTGCATTCTCGAATTGTCCCATCACTATGGCTACTGTGGATTTTCAGTATACAGCTGTCCTCACTCAACGCGTCTATGTGTCCGGCAATCTCCAATACAAATCAACCTGTGAGGTTTCAGTATGCAGCTTTCTTCACTCACTGTGTCTATATGTGTCCGGCAATCGCAAACGTCACTCAGCCCGTGAGGTCTCAGTATGTGTCTATCCTCATTCAAAGCGTCTATGTGTCTGGCACTATCCAACATCACTCAACTCGTGAGGTTTCAGTATGTAGCTATACTCACTCAGCGCGTGTATGTGTCTGGCAAACTCAAAAACCAATCCGTGAGGTTTCAGTATGCAGCTTTCTTCACTCACTGTGTCTATATGTGTCCGGCAATCGCAAACGTCACTCAGCCCGTGAGGTCTCAGTATGTGTCTATCCTCATTCAAAGCGTCTATGTGTCTGGCACTATCCAACATCACTCAACTCGTGAGGTTTCAGTATGTAGCTATACTCACTCAGCGCGTGTATGTGTCTGGCAAACTCAAAAACCAATCCGTGAGGTTTCAGTATGCAGCTATCCCCACTCAACACGTCCATGTGTCTTTCAAACTCAAAAACCAATATCTACATGAGGTTTTAGTATGCAGCTATCCTCACTCAACACGTCTAGGTGTCTCGCAATCTCCAATACAAATAACCTGTGAGGTTCAATATGTGTCTATCCTCATTCAACGCGTCTATGTGTCCGGCACTCCAACATCACTCAACCCGTGGGGTTTCAGTATGCAGTTATCCCCACTCAACCCGTCCATGTGTCTGGCCATCTCAAACCCCACTCAACCCTTGAGGTTTCAGTACACAGCTATAATCACTCAACACGGCTATGTGTCCGGCATACTCCTACATCACTCAACCTGTGAGGTTTCCGTAAACAGCTATCCTGACTACACTCATCCATGCGTCACGCGTCTTTGGTAGTCTAGCTCATACTATGGGGGCTATATTTGGGGTGGCGTGTTTTACAGCGCTTTGCCAATAGCGCCAACACATTTGAAGTCTAGATCGGAGGGGGGGGAGGGGGTTGTACTCATAGTCGTGCATGCCGTTGTCGTTAGACCATTGACCTCGCATCCCTACAAAGCCGGGACGGAGCACGCCGGGTTCTCACCGGACCAGGCTCTCACATCACCAAGCGCGAAGCGCCGTGAGATATTCGGCGAGTCGCATGAAGGGTGCGCTGCATCCTGCTAAGGGTTTTCGGCATCTTGTGCTTACTTCCTTGCGTACGGATTTGCAAAGGGGGTGTGGCAATTGAACGGTGGCACTGCTGTAACGTGGAAAAACCTGGGGCACTTGTTGCTTATGTTCCGGCTCATTTTCCAGCTGAAATGTTGCACCAGAGGAGAAAGAGCAGGCAATCGCCGTACCGTTGCTGCTGGTGCCACCCACCTGAAGCCCACGTCCCGAATCCTTGAGATCCATTGTACCAAACATGTTGGCCAACAACCGAAAATAAACCTCTGTTTGTTCAAGAGAAAACTTAAGAAAACAAGAAGGACTTCCTTCCGTGCTTGTGCTGCTGTGATTGCCCCATTCCACACACCACTGCTACAGCAGCAGGAGGATGACAGCAACGACGACGAGGAAGGGCACCCTCACGGCGTCGAGCCCTTGGGCAACATCTTCCTGGGCAGGAGCTCCGACTGCAAGCCGAGAGGCCTCGGATCCCTTGCTTCCTTCGATGTAAGTCAACCCTGTCTCTCTGCTGCTGCCACCCATGATGATGCTCCACTCCACAACACATCATCACCCGCCCGCCCCCGTCCTTTCTACGCTTGCCGCACCCTTTCTGCTCTCTGCAAACAGGCACACTTGGCCTTTAGAACCATTTTGTATTTTCGAACGACGGAGCCTGATGACTTTTCATTGGTCAGGCGGTTAGCGCGGTCGATGCTAGTATTTCTTAAACACAACACATGTGTTTATTGTTTTGTCGCTGCCGCCACCTACCAGGATGAACGCATGCTGGACTTACTCTGTTTCCTGGACGCTCCCGCCCTCGGCCGGCTCGCTTGTGTCAGCCGCGCCCTGTACGTATTCGCCCACGTGGAAGAGCTGTGGAAGACCCTCGTGGTGCAGGTACTGCTGTACCCTTATTGTCGTTGGTGTTGTTGCTGTTGCTGTTGCTGTTGCTGTTGCTGTTGCTGTTGCTGTTGCTGTTGCTGTCGTTGGTGGCGATGGTGTTGGTGTCGGTGGTGGTGTTTCACGAATGTATCGATGCTTGCTTCAAAGATTCGCAACACATTCGCCTGTTGTGTTCGTGTCTGGGCGCACTGACGTCTTGTTTCCATGAAGTATTTTTGCTGTCGTTGTTGGTGGTGGTGGCAGTATTGGTGTTGTCGGTGTTGGTGTTGTCGCCGTCGTCATTGTTGCTGCTTTGCGAATGCACCAATGCTTGCATCAAGGATTCAAAACATGTTTGCCTGTGGTGTTTGTCTCTGGGCGCACTGACGTTTTGTTTCTATGAAGTAATTTCTATTTTTAGCTTCCGGCTACGTGTAGCCTCTCATTTGCCCTGCGTTCCATGTTCTCGAACGGATAGCCGCTCTTTGACGATATGCATACGTAAATTTTCATGTGCGGTAGATACAAGGGGACGCTTCAGCAAACACACATATGTGTGCAGGAACGTTTGTGTGATGACCCGAAGCGATTAGAGCTTGGCGATTTGCCCTTGTGTCGTGAGTGAAGCGATGCGAGCTTGGTTGAGAACTCCTTTCGTGTGTGTGCACGGCGATCATATCATCGTATCGCACTGCTGTACAATCGCGACAGGAGATGGCGAGGAGGCCAGGCCAAGGCGTAGAAACCCGAGGCGGCTGGAAGACCACACTGCAGCACATCGCCGTCGGGCGATCGGCTGTCCCCCGCGGCGGCGACGGCGGCAGCGTTGCGGACGACGAAAGAGGGGGGAAGAGCGTGCCTCACGTTCCTTTGAAGGTAAATACAAGCATAGTGTTCACGAAGTAGTACCTGTTAAGTGTGTTTTTGATAGAGGAGAAAATAGAGGTTGGCCGACGATCCGACCAAGCACACGCCTCGCCATCGTCGCTGATAAGTCTCTCTCTAGATACCATGTAAACACGTACTCTTAATACGCCTTCATCGTTTCCGCTATTTAGTCGCGTTCAATCTAGGGCTGTCGCCGCCCTTTTGTTTCATGTCACCGCTACACACGGGCCTTATCTCAAAACCTCCCTCTCCTTCCCTCCCTCCCTCCCACGCCTGCACAACACCGCAAACGATGACATGCGCCAAGGTGTCCGGCTTCTTTTCGGACCTGCTGTTCCAGCCGCACTACTGCGCCACCACAGCGATCAGGCCCGAGTGGGTGCGGCGGGACACGGTGGACAGGAGGGCGGGCCTTTCGCCGGAAGAGTTCCGCCGCTTGTACGAGGAGCCCAATACGCCCGTCGTCGTGACGGATGCAGCAGCGAGGCGAGTTGAGGGGGTGACGACGCGAGTGAAACTGTACTTTTTGGAGTGCAGCGGTGAGATCGATTCCGTGATTGACCCGTGCCCTTGGACGCGCGGGAGGGGGGGGGTGGGGGAGGGGGTAACACACGCGTGGGTCGTCACGACACTTGTGTAGAGAGGTGGCAGTGGAGGTGGAGAATGAAAGTATCACGCTTCTGGTTGCGCAGTACCTCTCGGTAAATGGGGAATAAGAAGGGCATGTTATTTTGCCATGTTTTTTGTTCGTGTTCCACGACAACGAAAGGCCGTATTTTTTTATTTCCAACACTCGAAATGAAACAACGGCACAATATGGAGGCGTGTTGGTGACCATGATTTTCTAGGTCTGCCCACGCTCGTGCGTTTCTGATTGGCCCGTTCGCTGCACCAAACCTCGCTGTCAAGCAAGTGTTGTTTTGCACCTTTTGGCCATGTGTGTGTGTGTGTGTGTGTATGACATCGTATATGGCCGAAGTCGTGAGTGCTTCGTCGTTCATTCATGCACCACGTGGCGCCCGACAGCCACACTGCCATGTCCTCTTCGTGGGTCGCGCGTCGCCCCCCCCGGGCCCGCCTCATTTTAAATGTCGCGCGTTGTTGGCAGCCCCGTGTTTGATGGGGTTCTTTTCTCATCACGTTCAATCTTCGCCCACAACTCAAAGCGTTTCTGCCTGGTAGGAACTCCGTGGTCACACAGAAGAACGGTTCCTCTCCCTCCGCCCACCTTCCCTCCTGCGGTGCTTGCCTTCGAATTTTTAACGCTAGAAGAGGGCATGCACTCGCTTCCCTCAAGGTGTACACAAGAACTATTTTAGCGATGTCCACAACCAGGAGCTTGCTTGCCATGTATTACATTCCCTCTCCTTTTTGTCAAATCCACCCCACCCCGTGTGTATCCGCCGCACCACCGCCGCCGCCATGCATCGCATCGCGCCGACAATTAGCTGGCCCGCGCTGGAGAAGTGGACCCGAAGCAGACTCTCGGCCGCTCACGGAGACCTCCGTCTGCACGCGGGAGGCTTGGAGTTCGCCCTGAAGGTAGGCGACAAGGGGGTTAAATAATGCCGGTGCAGGAGTTTTGCCCGGCGAATCGAACGGCGCAACATATTCAGAGGGACCGGCGCTATCAAAACCCATAATGACTCGGTGATTCAGTCTGTGCTCTGCAATTTTTCAGCGGCGCTATGCTGGACCACCGGCGCTTAATGGGCTTCCTCGGGGGGGGGCACTGTTAAGCGCCGGAAGGGGGGGGGTTGGGCGATGGGACGAACGAAAAGTGCTATGACAGCCCGTCCCAGTCAGCAAGTGCTGTGTCCTCGCCATTATTTGTTTTGTTTGGTTTTGGGTACTTGGTGCCCTTAATTCTGTGAGCGGACCTGTAGCTGCGCTTCGGTCGTATTCTTCCACACCCTGGACAGACCAAACACCCTACACGATCGAGGGCGTTGTCAGCACAGAAGACATGATCTGCGGGCCAAGTGTGTGTGTGTGAGTGCTCTCGATTACATACACCGGGGGTTGACCCCCCCAAGGTAGGCGTGCGTTAACCGAGCATCTCGTTGTTCGCACGTTCTTCTTGACTGACGGAAGTGCGATTCGGAGCGTGATCCGAGCGAGCTTTGTTCAATGTTCAACCTTAAATCGCGTACAGTAACGCTTTGGCTTGGGTGCGTGCCCCCGTGCTCTTGCTGCTGCTGCTTTTGTGCCTTGACCGGACCAACGTGCAGGACTACCTTCGGTACGCCCGGGAGTCGAAGGACGAGCTCCCTCTGTACGTGTTCGACAAGCGCTTCGTGGACAAGTGCCCCGACCTGGGGAGGGAGTACGACGTGCCCAGCGTGTTCGCGGTGAGAGGGAAATACCGTGGCGGTCTTTGTGTCTGCTGGTGCTGGTGCTGGTGCTGGTGCTGGTGTTGTTATTGTTGTTGTTGTTGGTTTTGGTGGTGGTTTTGGGCGGTGTTGTTGTCGTTGTCGTTGTCGTTGTCGTTGTTGTTCTTGTCGTCGTCCAGGCTGGGGTTGGTTGTGCGGGTAGGTTAATATCCCTTTTTGCTCACGTGTATGGTCTTCGTTGTTCAACACCGCAGCAGGGCCTCGTGAAAATTGAGTCTACTACATGTGGCTAAAAAAAATCTGAATTGCTACATCCTCCCTTCCCCCCCCCCCC